TCATTCTTTAGACCCAACTGCTATTTTTAATCATTCTATATGACCCCCCCTAAACTTTTCAAGATGACTGGCCACGAGTTTAGTTTATAACACACCTTATTAATCAAGGTTCTAACAAGACTAGTTAGCATGGATTTACTGTTGAATTTGAAAGCTTAAATTTAGAACTTACAAAATTCTTTTATGCATCTTCTGAATGCTAGGTAGCATCTCTTGCTTGAAGAAAAAGATAGACAATTAACATGGATGGAAACTAATTGTCAGGTATGGAATCGTTAATTATTTATTGGAAACCAGATCGTTCAAAACAACAATTTTTATAACAATTTTGAACTGTATGTTGCACGTTAAAATATTTTTTTTATTACTATTATACTAATACCGATTAAAGTTTTGTGTTGCTAATGGATAAACTCCATGAAAACAAAGGTACATAATAATTACAATACCAAATTACCTTCTTCATACTGGATTCTCCCCCTTTTTGCTTCTGTCTGTTCGACATATTCTTCTGTTTTTCTCCTTCTGGTAACAGCTACCTCCTGGTTTTTTTTGTTCTCTTGGCCATCTCCCCTTGCTGTGAAAATGTAACTACTATAAATCATGGCTATTATTTCACTGTAAATATCTGATTCATACTGTAAACGAAATAACTATACAAAACATTCTTTGAACTTTTTGTCAACAACTTCAAATATTTTATCAAGTTATTCATGTATTCATGCTAGACAACTATGAAATAAAGGAAGCTTCTTATAAAACAAGCTGTGAATTTAAGCCAACCTCACTATTCTTGGTATGTTTACTACAGCTTGTCTGCTATATAGGACCAAAAATTTCTTTATTTAAGTACAAATGTCAACTAGTTCGGCCTGGAGTGACATCACTTGTATAAACAACCTATATTTGTAGCTTTCCTTGATTTTCTTACATCACATTTGAAAAAATTATTTTACAGCAGAAAACACGAGTTAAACCTTTTAATACTTATGTGGTTGACTCAGATGGCAAACAGCAAGAAATTGTATTGTAACACTTAAGATGTAGTCAGTAAACATAGTTAAAACTAAATATGATTTTTTACTCAAAATTGTTCATTTTAGGTTTCAATGTTTCAGTTACATAAAGCGTTGTAATATCAATTAATTTGAAAAATAATACATTGTTTAATACACTATGTAGGTTTTTGAAAAAAAAGAAAACAATAAGGACTCTTGTATAGAAATTTCTAAAAGATCAGTATAGGAAAAATAAACAAAATAAAGAACGGTACCTTTATTTACCAGAACTTGCACTTACACTACAAAAAATGATACTATTCAGTTATAAAACATATTAGTTTGTTTCTAACTTTAAAACTCTTTCAGCACAGGCTCTGTGCTTCGGACCGACCTCGTAACCATTTTGTACCTGTTATAGTTTTCGTGCTATAACTTTTAAATTAGTATGCAAATGTTAACGAAATTTGGCAGATTATCAGTAAATATTACAATGCTTTCATACACAAAATATCTATTTTTCATTTTATTAAGACTTAAGGTTTCTAAAGCAATTTTTTTCTTTTCACATCTTGCCTATCTATCATGCAAAGTCATTTTCATTTTAAGATTAGAAATACTTTTGTGTATCAGAAAATTTTAAAATTTCACATATGAAATCTTTATAATGTCCAGATAGTTATCAAATGTTTCTTAAAAAAAAACTTTATATTTTAATATGTTCTAGCTTGTAAATATCAGTAATTAGAGTTTCTAATTTGTAAGAAAATATAGACATAGTATTTTGATTTCACAAACATCTAATATAAACCAGTGCTGCATTCAACATACCATGTGAAACACAAAAATCTATGTTTAACCGTGTTTATTTAATATTTACTTTTAAATTAAGAAATTGAGTATATATAATACTAAAATTTTAATTATAATCTACAGTTTGATACCAAACTAACTGACATAAATTCATGAAATACTAGTTCACTAAAATTTTCAATGAGTCAACAAACGAGATGATGTGGACTGTCACCCATGATCCATCTCGAAAGGATTAAATCAACGCATGACAATCACACCAAGTTGAACTTAAAATCTCTTAGTTTTGCTTACTGTTTTTTTTACCCTCTGCTGATCTTTTAACAGTGGTCTTTACAGAAATCCTTACTGTTTTCTTTTCAGAAGCTTACCTTGTTTATTGAATGATATATTGTACATCTAAACTGTTTGATGTCATAATCAAAACAAATGACACGTATAAAAATAACAAAGATCACACCGTGAAATAATATATAATCAGTTTGTTGCACAGTCTCTCTGAAACACTGAGATATAAGATAAAAAAATAATGTCCACAGATCTGTAGTCAGCACTACATTATATATAAACAGAGCAATGTGATCTTTACAATATAAACTATATTTTAATTACATAAAAGGTTACTGTAAGGGTTATTCTTTTTTGCAAATTATCATAGAAGTATTTTTGGGGTTTATCAAAACTTTCTACAATTCGTAGAGTCCAGTTGTTATTGTATATTTATATAAAGTGTTTCTATGTTATTTTTGTGATTGTTAAACCTAACTTAGAAATCTATTATTTTTAATTTATCCTTAAAAAATACATTATATTGTTGCAAAGTTATTGTCCTTATATCTACCTTCTTTATTACTTTTTTTTAAACCGAACATACATACATTTTCTCAGATGTATTAACCATGACTAGGCTCTGCTTACCAAGTTTGATAGCACTGGATATTTACTGTTAGTTATTACATTTTCTCAGCACAGAAAACAAAATTAGTTGGAAACTTGACATAAGGTTTGTTATAAAGTTGTACAGTTTTAAGTTTAGAAGAATCTTGTCCGTGTCACTTGGTATTAATTGGTTTATATAAGCACAAATATAAAACATCAAGAAAGCTTATAATAAGCAAAAACTCTGTCTACTACCTTGAACAGGTTCAGGAGTTGCAGTGGCAGCAAAGGGTGACTGGGTTGGCTGACTTTCTGCAGGAAGTGGATACTTTCTAGGACGACCACGACGACGAGGTGTAGGGGCAGGAGGAGGCAAGGTCATAATGGAATGAGCTTGTTCTTCAATAAGTTCTAACAGAAAATATAAAAAAATAAAATACAAATTGTACATTTCTTTCAATTTTAAAACTGATACGTTGTTTTATCATTATCTGCTACTAAGTTTATCTTTACTAATCAAAGCACTAGTAAATTTAAAGTACTGTAACATCAGTCTCATAGGAAACAGATTACCTGTAACTGTTGCAGACTCTCTGGGAACTTGAGCTAGAGATGCACCATCATTATTCATAAGCTCATTGCCTTGGGCTTCTTGGTTCTGAACATGCTGGAGAATGGTGACATTCTCCTGGGAATTTCTTTGGTTGTTTGGTATTGAAAGTGAACCATGCTGGAGTTCAGTAAGTGTTTGTTCCGAGTTATCAGAAGTTCCATCAACGCCACCAGGCAGTTGAATCACTTCAAACACCACCACCTAGAAAACATGGAATTTCTCTAATACTGTCTACAACCAGATTTTTGTTTCTACTTTTACAATACAACATCAATATTTATTTGTGTTTTTCCCACCTTCTGGTCTACTTTCACTACTAATGCATAGCACTGGATCACTCTGAAAATCTTGTATCTCTTTTTAAGCACAGACGTTTGAATATCAAGAAAACAAAATTTACCCAAACTGGTCTGCAATACATATCTTTGAAAATAAAAACCAGCACAAGACATTAATTGTTTCCATACCATTAGCAAGCACAGGTTACTAAACAGGTAGAGAATGAACAGTCATTTAGTGAACAATAATTAAAAATTGTAACATAATTTAGATTTCCTAAAAATTTACAAAAACCAGGAGAATATTTTTGTCCATTCGGTTCCAAGGAAGTAATAAGAACTCTAAGCTTACTTTTATAAATGTGCTGAAAACAAACTCATTGGCTTACTCTTTACTATGATTTAATAACATTAAAAAAAAATTGTAATCAAAAAACACATTAAAACTAACTCTACAATTAATGAATAAATGTACTTCATATTTTTTTATTATCTCCCATAGTGTACAGTACTTCTACATTAATAAATCTAATTAATTGTACTGTTGATGTTCAGCATTTTTAAATTGAGCTGCCAGTAATATTAACTTACAAAAGTAATGTACAAAACTGAAATGTACTTATAGCCAGGACCACTTAGTATACCAGCATGAGAATGTACAGTTAATATACGAAACTAAAATGTACTTATAGCCAGGACCACTTAAGTATACCAGCATGAGAATGTACAGTTAATATACGAAACTAAAATGTACTTATAGCCAGGACCACTTAGTATACCAGCATGAGAATGTACAGTTAATCTACAAAACTGACATGTACTTGGTATACTAAGTGGTCCTGGCTATAGCATGACAATGTACAGTGAATCTACAAAACTGAAATGTACTTATAGCCAGGACCACTTAGTATACCAGCATGACAAGGTACAGTAGAACCTTGACATTTCACCCTTCCGATTGTGTCCAAATGCCCTCTATAGCAAGGTGCCCTTAATATAAAAAAAAAGCCATGCAAAGTTGGATTCCATATTGACCGTACTAAATTTCTGAATTTTATGCCCCCCCCCTAATTTTCTTTGGTGTATGCAGAACACAGGTATTCATGAGTTGTACATTACAATGACATGGAATGTTGTCAACAGGAGGTCTCAGGGGGTGGATTAGCTGTGCCCTTTTTTTCTGTATTATTGGTTACAAAGTATTTCTCTTCAGAGTTTGAACTGCTAAACATTTGACATTTATTTTCTGTGTTTATTTTACCGTTAATGACTGAAGTAGAAAACCACTGAAAATAGAGCAAAAAATCACCACTTGTATCACTGGACTGTTTATGGTGACACCATAATACGATACTCTCGATAGAAACAAAGCACATGCACAGACTTGACCCCTGCTCCGAGAACATGATGTGGCTTATGTATCCTACAGATCAAACTTTGAATCGGTGAAAACATTTACTACAGTATATGGTTCAGAGCCAATCCAATAAACATTGCAAGTGTTTGATTATTGGTCATCCTTCTGGGATGTTTGTAATTTAGCAGTATACCATACAGGCACACAAAGATCGAACAAAACTGTATTGAATAGAGAAATCAACAGTCATTAAGTCCTTAGTGATATAACCATAAAATAATATTTTCAAGGCCTTTAATGAAATCAAAACTATGTTATTGTTCTGTTTTTTTCTTTGATTTTATGGTTGTTACGAATAGGTAGATTAGATGGAATTTATTGTTTTGGTACTATTAAATCAAAAACATTAGATTTGAACCTAAGAACTAGCATGGATCAAATGAGAGTACATGTAGTTCTACATCCTAAATTAACAAGTTTTAACTACATGAATAAAAAGTTCAAATAGAAGTTAGGTTTATGAAGTTGTATTTTCTGGAGTATTTCATAGAAAACGATTGGTGGTAAATTTAATATCACAAGAAAATTTAAAATTTTTTCCTTTTATTGTTGATGGTTTGGGAAACCTTATTAGGAGGAACACAAGCAAACTTCATAGTGATGAGAGTAACAAATATAAAATTTGAAAAAAAAAGAGCACAAGCAGTAGTCCCAAAACTGTAACTGGTCCATGAACTCCCTTGATGTGATCTGTGGAAAGGTTTCTTAATTACAGAAATGATGATTTTGTAGATACCAAAACAAATCTGACACTGGAGACCTAAAAAATTCAGCTATATAAGCAGGGAGAATATGCATAAATTAAGCAGAAAATACTAAACTATATGCTATATAACTTTTGAGTTTAAGAGAGAAAGTGTTATATATTTGGGTGTTTTATAAAATATTGAACTGCCTGCTGGTTTCTCAATGAAAGAGGAATTGTTGGAGAATTTTTGTGAGGAAACATTAGGTCCAGTTTAAAAGAAATTTACTACTTGAGTTTTAGATTCAAACCGGTTCATTTTCTGATGTCATTTACTATTACATATCTGTGTGAGACAGGATTTTAATCACTTGTGGCCCTGAAGTCCAAATATAGAACCAGGATGAATGTTGAACCTGACCCGAGGCTAAAGCTGATGGACGTTACACCTAACATCACAAAACTTTGTTTGTTTGTAGTTAAGTACAAAGTTACACAATGGGCTATCTGTGTTCTGCTCACCATGGGTATAGAAACCCAGATTCTAGCATTATAAGTCCACAGACATACCGCTGTGCCACTGGGGGGCATTACAAAATTGCTCACAAAAGAAGTGCACCCTTTACAATAAAATGTAGAAAGGCAAGTTTGTGTTTCATATTAATATTATAGTGATTTTTTATGCACTTGCACTGTTTTGTTAAATGTGTTTCACTGAAATCGCCACCACCACCACCCCCCAAAAAAAATTCAAGTAGCCCACAAAACGAATGTTTTAGAACCACTGAGCTAGGTAGAGTATAGGAATGGAATCACATTCCACTTCTTTTAAATATCTTTGTGTTCAGTAATAAACTATGAAAAAAAAAGTAGTTGAAACTACAATAACATATAAATCTCAACATAAGAATTTTGAATTAGTTTGATGTAATTGTTAAAATGAGTGATATTTCTGACCAATAAGACCATGATTTCTATTATTGAATTAGGCAGTGCAGAAAAAAAACTATTAGCACTTGTGATTTTATGCAACACTCTTTGCACTGAACTATCAGGCAGATTTGGAGACAAGAATAAGAGTTACTGAATAAACCTGTAAATCTAGTGATTCACCTGCCTAACATGGCAGTAAATATTGTTTCATTAAATTAACCTGTAACTCTGGTGACTCACCTGCCTAACGTGGCAGTAAATATTGTTTCATTAAATTAACCTGTAAATCTGGCGATTCACCTGCCTAACATGGCAGTAAATATTGTTTCATTAAATTAACCTGTAACTCTGGTGACTCACCTGTCTAACATGGCAGTAAATATTGTTTCATTAAATCAACCTGTAAACCTGGTGACTCACCTGCCTAACGTGGCAGTAAATATTGTTTCATTATCAGATGTAAATTTTTCAGATTATACTAATGATTTTCCTCATGTTATAACAAATTCATTTCATAAATTGTTAAACCTGAATCATAAATAAATAGTTGTATCATATTTCAGTTTAGCAGCTTGAATATATCAATCTTTACAGTGTTTACTTTGGAATGCTAGGAAAGGTGTTTTCTTGTGTGTTTTCAAACAGTAGACATTCCATTCTGAAATCTTTCAGGAATATATTTAGATCAACAAACCTGCTGTCCTTCCTGTTGTCCTTCTTGAATTGTTCCTTCAACATCAATTGGGACTGGCTTCATTAGACTTTCCTCACTTTCCGAGTAGCTTTCTTCTCCATCATAATCCTCGCTCAGCTCATTTTGTTGTCCAATCAACATAGCTTCTGCTTTCTCAGCTTCTGTTGCATCTGGGTCATGTATCGCTAAGTGTCGAATTAGATTGCCCTGGAAACAGTTACCACGAGTATTCATGATACTGACATGCCACACACACGATAACAATACCCTCTTCTCAAAGTAATAATGAATAATAAACATATAACAAGTATAATGTTTTAACAACATGAGAATCATGGCCTTTTGTAACATAAGTATTGTAACAAATTAGACTCAAACTATTACTCCTGTCTTTTAATATATTATTTAGTGTAGTAACTTTGTGTCGTTTCATAAACTAATCATACTACTACTTCTGCCTTTCACTATATTATTTAATGTAGTAACTTTGTGTCATTTCATAAACTAATCAGAATACTACTCCTGCCTTTTACTATATTTAGTGTAGTAACTTTGTGTCATTTTATAAACTAATCAGACTATTACTCCTGCCTTCTACTATATTAATGAAACGACACAAAGTTACTACACTAAATAATATAGTGAAAGGCAGAAGTAGTAGTCTGATTAGTTTAAGATGTCTTTGTTGGTACAGGATATAGCAGATACAGTGTGTTTCACATTACTGTACACTCTGTTTTAGTTACTCAGAAGTTCTTATAAAATACATGTGCTTAGATTCATTCTAGGGAAGATGTCTTTGTTGGTACAGGATATAGCAGATACAGTGTGTTTCACATTACTGTACACTCTGTTTTAGTTACTCAGAAGTTCTTATAAAATGCATGTGCTTAGATTCATTCTAACAAATTAATTACTATATAGGTTGAGCATTCTTCATTTGTAATGCTGTAGTATTAAACAGACCTCTTTGATGAATGTATCTAAACCTCATTTTATTTCCTACTCTTAGTTTATGATATGATACAAAGTTACTACACTAAATAATGTAGTAAAAGGCAGGACCATAGAATGAATCTAAGCACATGTATTTTATAAGAACTTCTGAGTAACGTGAAACACACTGTATCTGCTATATCCTGTACCAACAAAGACATCTTACCAATACCAGGGCCCTTCAGAACAGCTGGGAGATGAAACACATAGTAGTGATGAGATGATATATTATAGTAGCATATGTTTTAATGAAATAACATCCTAAACAGAAAACCAAGAAGAAAGCAGGAAATCCAAAAACACCAGTTGCATTAAAAAGTCAACTCATGTACTTTTATACAGTTACAGGTTTTAGAAAGCTTACTTTGTGTCTGAAGGCCTTTCCACATTCAGCACATTCATGTGTTTTCTCTCGAGGAACAGGAGGGATGTAGTTCGGGTCATGGTACAAATTCTTGTGTCTCTTTAACAACTGCTTCTGTCTAAAAGACTGGTCACACTCATCACAATGGAATGGCTTCTGGTCAGTATGGATTAACATATGGGATTCTAGGTGACGTTGTGAAATAGAGGCATAGGAGCACAGATCACATTTAAAACACTTCTCTCCCTCGTGAGTCTTCACATGAATCTGTGGGAAACATATAGGTTAACCCTCTATAAACCTTTTACAGAGTTAAATTCAAAGTGTAATTAAACAACTTTATTATCAATATATGTTAATGAACTTGGCATGAAAATGTAGTAAAATTCCAATTTTCTGTTTAAGCCAGATTTCTAATGTAAAGTTCATAAAGATACACTTGGTTAATTCAGAGTTTTGTATTTGTAATTTCATGGTTATATAGTGTTTACAAGATCGATCAAAATGACTGAGCTTGCACAGAATTATACACATCTGTAAGCACTGAACATAACCATTTAATGTTTCTTTTCTTATAAAAAAATTATGCTGTTGTCCATGAATAACAAAACAAATAATATCAGTGTGATAAAACAATACTACTTTGAATAATTAGGCATAGGAAGTTAAAGTATCACCCAGAACTTGCTGTTCTAAATACACAAGTAATAATAATACAAACACTAACTGTTGTTATTCATATTGAAAGTTACAGTATCACCCAGAACTTGCTGTTCTAAATACACAAGTAATAAAAATACAAACACTAACTGTTGTCATTCATATTGAACTTTCTAGATGTTTCTACTGAAGTACTAGCAATAAATCTGTGTTTTGTGAATCATACATAACAACACTGCACATAATGAATGGTTAGAGACATTCTATAACTTGGTCAAGTGAACAAGGTGATCGCAAAAAAAACTATCTTCTGTTTTTGTCATATTAAAATATAATTTGTCATCTATCATATGAAATGCATTCAATATTCCCTTAAGAAGGAAGAATTCAGTTTAACTGTGTACACAAAGAAAGTGTTTAGTGTTTGACTTGGTAAGTAATATTTATGCTATCATTTAATGAATTCTTAAACTCAAAAAGGTTTGTTGCAAGTAGAAATATTTACATACTGAAGGCAAAAGTTTATGTTTGTTAAAAGAAATACAATAATATGTTCTAAAGATGTAGAATAACACTGAATTAATTAGAGGATTTGTGTACCTTGGACATTTCTTGATTTACTATGTCTAGCTCTAAATTATAAAACAAACTAGGTCTACTCTATGGAAGAAAATCTAAGCTAATGAAATTACACCAAGATTAAGTAGCAGTTGAAGTTAAATTCAACATTCTAAGACACTTTTAAAGGCAATTTTTTTGGACTTTACAGCTTTGTAGTCATGTTAGTGAAATCTAAATGTAATGCTTCTAGCCTTGAAATAACAGACACATATATAAAAAAAAGACAAAAACTGCAATCAAACATAACAAGAAAGGTTTTTAAATAAGAGGCAAATTATGAGTTTAAAGCAAAGGAACGTATATTTACAAATAAAAAAAATAGCTTACTTTTAGCGAATACCTATCTGGGAATGACTTGCCACATCGCTTACACTTTAATGGTTTATCACTAGTGTGTAGCTTTTGAACGTGGATCCGCAAGTCTGTTTTTCGGCCGCACGTGGTGGGACAAAACTCACATTGGTACATAGGTTTGTTTCCTGAATGGATCATTCTGTGAGCTTTCAAACTGTTTGACTGAGTAAATCGGGCGTGACATACTTCGCATTCGTATGGCTTTTCTCCCGTATGAATTCTTAAATGGCGCTTAAGTTTGTAAGTGTCAGGACTGGCATATGTGCAGTGGGGACACTGATATGGACGCTCACCAGTGTGGCACCTCATGTGCCTTTTGAGTTTACTCAATTCTACACTAGCATAATCACACTCCGTACAGCGGTGAGGCTTTTCATGAGTGTGACGATAACGAACGTGACGAACCAGCTCTCCTGAAGTTGTAAAGCAAGAGTCGCATTCTTTGCAGTGATGTGGCCTTGTACCAGTGTGGGTATTTACATGGTTTTGAAGAGAGGCTAAAGTTTTAAAGCCACATTCACACACACTGCATTTGTGAGGTCTCTCCTCAGAGTGAGACTTCATGTGTCGAGACAAAAGGTATCGTTTTGGACTAGTGTAATTACAATAATTACACATATGTGCCTGAGTGACTGTTTGGCTTTTCTTTGGTGAGATTCTGATTGTACGCATCTTACTTCCATCCGGAGAGGCTTCTTCTTTTACTACCTCTCCATACTTCTCTCCTACTTCATTGAAATCATACACGGACATATCCATGTTTAACCCTTTTTGATCATCTTTGTTTTCATCTGGTTGTGATACTATCAGAACGTAGCTGACTTCTCCAGGGTTTGTATCAGATGGTACAATAGTTACTGTCTGATAAGAGTTACCAGTATTTAAAAGCACCTAAAGAACAAAAAATAAATACGATTTTGAATCCAGACTAATAAGATTTATACGTGACACTAAACAATAAATCTTTTTATACATGATAACATTCAATCGACAAAAACGTGTTAAATTGAGTCTTTAAATCTTGCAATAATATAAAGTAACTTTTATTTATTTTTATCAGATCTCTTAAAAAGTTTCAGTAACATAAGATGTCTAACAATGTTAAATAATTTTACTTTTAATGACAAATTAACAAAACCATAGTTAAATCAGTTATAATCATATCAAAATTAGTGTGACGGTTAGTTCTGAAGGTGAACTAACAAGTTAACCCTTAAAACCATGAGATGGTCTCATGAGTGGAACAAGAACTTAAATGTAGGGAAAGACATTAATTACTTTTCATAATCACACTCCATGTATTTCTGGTTTAGAGAAATGTCTGTAAATATTTTGTTCAAAAACTTCTTAATATAATGACAATAACTTAAAAATTAAAGTTGATGAACAAAATAATTTTTAAAGTTGCAATTATACATAACCCTAACCTCACAGTAGGCAATTAAATTAAGCCTTACAAGTTTTATCTTCAGTTTTACTATTTACAGAATGAAATTACCATGGGTTATACTGAATAGACTGTACAATTACCTTGAAATGAAAATCCACCTTTAGCTACGTGTCAAAAAAAAAAAGGTGTTTTTTTTTTTACAGTTTTAGAAATTCAATAATTTTTTTGCTCATAATTTTCTGCTACACTACTCACAAAAAAAAGCACCATTCCACTGGAAATGGAACATAAAATGCAGGCTGACCATGAACCTGGCCATAAGTGTCATGAGGTTGCATCAATACCTGGATGCTTTTGACTGTAAATTTGCTAATTATTGCAAGGCCACATCCAAAAGATGTGAATGCAGGCCAAAAGGGTAACATGTACCTTTACATGACAACTGTAAGTCACAAAGAATAAACCAATGGTGTGGTCATGTTTATTTTACAAAAATTGTTAACTGTTAAAAAATACCATTGTTCAATGTTAGAGCTGCGTTAGAATCTCGATATATATATATATATGCATCGATTAATTGAAATTATGATTAAATTGATTAATATCATGAAAATAATCTAGTGTTTTAATTATTCCAACTATTCAGTAACCAAAGTTATGACTCAACAGATGATAGTCACAAAAATAATCAATTAACTGAAATTAGTTTCCAAATATTTCTGATTACTTCAACTAACCTTTAATAGAAATATTGGTTTTCATTATTATTTATAATTAATTCAAGTTTGTTCAGCTTAATCAGTTACTGTAAGATTCATGTAAGTAATCAAAATTAGGGTTTCTGATTGTTCCAATAAAAAAGTAATTAAAACATTGCCCTTACGTTTATTGTTAAACACAAAACTACACAAAGAGCTATATGTGCTCTGCCCAATGCAAATATCAAAACCCAATATGTAATAGTACAAGCTTTCTGTTTTAGCCATGCTGTAAGAATAACCGAGTAGTTAAATGTAATTGATTAGCAAGTTATACTAATCAACCAGTTCTGTTCATTATAAATGAAAACTTGTATACTGACACACACAGAGTTTTGTGTATGTAATAAATGTTTCTGACAAACTCATTTTACCACTACTGAGGACAAAAACTAGGGATCAGCTACGCTGTTTGCTGACTACACACTTAAACTCTACTGTCTTGCACATTCATTTTCAAAGCTGAATATGTGTATGTGTGTGTAATATATATATATATATATATATATATATATATATT